CCACACACAGCATCGCCACCACACAGCATCGCCACCCACACAGCACCGCCACCACACAGCATCACCACACCACACAGCATCACCACACAACATCGCCACCACACAAGACCACCACACAACATCACCACCACACAACATCACACCACAACATCACCACCACACATCACCACCACACAACATCACCACCACACAACATCACCACACCACAACATCACCACCACAACATCACCACCACACAACATCACCACAACATAACATAAACCACCACCACACAACATAACCACCACACAACAACATGATATTACAACACAAGCAATCCCTCCGCCATTACTCCCATTACACTCAGCACCCTCAAGAGCTCCCCACACTCAGCACCCCTCAAGAAGTCCCATTACACTCAGCACCACACTCCCTGTTACACTCAGCACCCCTAGCCCCCATTACACTCAGCACCCCTCAAGAGCTCCTGATTACACTCAGCACCCTCCAAGTCCCCATTACACCCAGCACCCTCAAGAGCTCCCCATTACACTCAGCACCCTCAAGAGCCCCCATTACACTCAGCACCCCCAAGAGCTCCTGATTACACCTCAGCACCCTCAAGTCCCCACACACCCCAGCACCTCAAGATCCCATTACACTCAGCACCCCTCAAGAGCTCCATACACTCAGCACCCTCAAGAGCCCCTGATTACACTGCACCCCTCAAGAAGTCCCCATTACACTCCAGCACCCCTCAAGAGCTCCTCACACTCAGCACCCTCAAGAGCTCCCATTACACTCATCACCCTCAAGAGCTCCTGATTACACCTCATCACCCTCAAGAGCTCCTGATTACACTCCTCATCACCCTCAAGAGCTCCCATTACACTCATCACCTCAAGAGCTCCATTACACTCCATCACCCTCAAGAGCTCCCATTACACTCCAGCACCCTCAAGAGCTCCCATTACACTCAGCACCCTCAAGAGCTCCCATTACACTCAATACCCCTCAAGAGCTCCCCGATTACACTCTCATCACCTCAAGAGCTCCTGATTACACTCTCATCACCTCAAGAGCTCCCATTACACTCATCACCCCTCAAGAGCTCCCATACACCCATCACCCTCAAGAGCTCCCACACACCTCATCACCCTCAAGAGCTCCCACACTCAGCACCCTCAAGAGCCTTCCCCATTACACCCATCACCCCTCAAGAGCCCTGATTACACTCATCACCTCAAGAGCTCCCCATTACACTCAGCACCCTCAAGAGCTTCCCACACACCTCAGCACCCTCAAGAGCTCCCCATTACACTCAGCACCCCTCAAGAGCTCCCATTACACTCAGCACCCTCAAGAGCTCCCCATTACACTCAGCACCCCTCACACTCCCACACTCAGCATCAAGAGCTCCCCACACTGCACTCAAGAGCCCCCACACTCAGCACCCCTCAAGAACTCCCCCATTACACTCAGCACCCCTCAAGAGCCCCATTACACTCAGCACCCTCAGAGCTCCCCATTACACTCAGCACCCTCAAGAGCTCCCCATTACACTCAAGAACCTCTCCTCATACACTCAGCACCCTCAAGAAGTCCCATTACACTCTCAGGCACCCCTAAGAAGTCCCCATTACACTCAGCACCCTCAAGAGCTCCCCACATACCTAGCACCCTAGTCCCCATTACACTCAGCACCCTCAAGAGCTCCCCATTACACTCAGCACCCCTCAAGAGCTCCCCATTACACTCAGCACCCTCAAGAGTTCCCCATTACACTCAGCCATTACACTCAGCACCCCCAAGAGCTCCCCATTACACTCAGCACCCCACAAGATCTCCCCCCCATACCAGCACCCTCAAGAGCTCCCCCACTATACTCAGCACCCCTCAAGAGCCTCCCATTACACTCAGCACCCTCAAGAGCTCCCCTTACACTCAGCCATTACACCCAGCACCCCTCAAGAGCTCACACACTCAGCCATTACACTCAGCACCCTCAAGAGCTCCCCACACCTGCCACACCTCAGCACCCCTCAAGAGCTCCCCATTACACTCAGCCATTACACTCAGCACCCTCAAGAGCCCCATTACACTCCAGCCACACACTCAGCACCCCAGAGCTCCCCCATTACACTCAGCACCCCTCAAGAGCTCCCCATTACACTCAGCCATTACACCAGCACCTCAAGAGCTCCCCCATTACACTCAGCACCCTCAAGAGCTCCTACACACACCAGCCATTACACTCAGCACCCCTCAAGAGCTCCCCCATTACACTCAGCCATTACACTCAGCACCCCTCAAGAGCTCCCCATTACACTCAGCCATTACACTCAGCACCCTCAAGAGCTCCCCATTACACTCCAGCCATTACACTCAGCACCCTCAAGAGCTCCCCATTACAGTCAGCCACACTCGGCACCCCTCAAGAGCCCCCATTACATCAGCCACACACTCAGCACCCCTCAAGAGCTCCCCATTACACTCAGTAGCCATTACACTCAGCACTTGAGCTCCCCATTACACTCAGCCATTACACTCAGCACCCTCAAGAGCCCCCATACACTCAGCCATTACACTCAGCACCCTCAAGAGCTCCCCATTACACTCAGCCATTACATTCAGCACCCCTCAAGAGCCCCCACACTCAGCACCCTCAAGAGCTCCCCACATTCAGCACCCTGAGCCTCACACTCAGCACCCTCAAGAGCTCCCCATTACACTCAGCACCCTCAAGATCTCCCCATTACACTCATCCATTACACTCAGCACCTTAAGAGCTCCCCATTACACTCAGCCATTACACCAGCACCCTCAAGAGCCCCCATTACACCTCAGCACCCTCAAGAGCTCCCCATTACACTCAGCACCCTCAAGATCTCCTCACACCATCCATACACTCAGCACCCCTCAAGAGCTCCCCATTACACTCAGCACCTCAAGAGCCCCCACACCTTCATCACCCCTCACCCTCCTGCCACCAGCCATTACACTCAGCACCCTTCAAGAGCTCCCCACACACCCAGCACCCCTCAAGCCCCACACACCAGCACCTCAAGAGCTCCCATTACACTCAGCACCCTCAAGAGCTCCCATTACACCCAGCACCCCTCAAGAGCTCCCCATTACACTCAGCATACACTCAGCACTAAGAGCTCCCATTACACTCAGCCATTACACTCAGCACCCTTCAAGAGCTCCTCATTACACTCAGCACCCTCAAGAGCTCCCCATTACACTCAGCCACACTCAGCACCCTCAAGAGCTCCCCATTACACTCAGCCATTACACTCAGCACCCCTGAAGAGCTCCCCATTACACTCAGCCATTACACCTGGCACTCCTAAGAGCTCCCCATTACACTCCAGCCATTACACTCAGCACCCCCTGACACCCCAGCCATTACACTCAGCACCCTCAAGAGCTCCCCATACACTCAGCCATTACACTCAGCACCCTCAAGAGCTCCCCATTACACTCAGCACCCCTCAAGAGCTCCACCCATTACACCTCAGCACCCTCAAGAGCTCCCATTACACTCAGCACCCCTAACCTCCCCATTACACTCACAAACTCAGCACCCTCAAGAGCCCCCCCATTACATTCAGCCCCTCAAGAGCTCACCCATTACACTCAGCACCCTCAAGAGCTCCCCATTACACTCAGCACCCTCAAGAGCTCCCCTTACACTCAGCTCCCTCAAGAGCTCCCCATTAAACTCAGCACCCTCAAGAGCTCCCATTACGCTCAGCAGCCCTCAAGAGCTCCCCGGTGTCAACACAGTTTACTCATGCCGAAGCAGTGAAACTTTCCAAAACTTACGAGAACTCTTGCCTGTTGAGATTAAGGTTTATTTCTGCAATCGTAGTCGGGGAAAGTTTTAGAAATTCAGGCAAACGACGACCCTCCTGTTATTTAAACTTCTGGGATCGTGTGTTTTGGGCCAGCTTGAACGCGCCCAGTCGGGTATTCTCCCACTCCTCCGTTCTTGCCAATTTCGACAAATGAAAATGCAAATTCCTTCTCCACAGTTTTTGTTGTCTTGTGTGTGTGTGTGTGTGTGTGTGTGTGTGTGTGTGTGTGTGTGTGTGTGTGTGTGTGTTTGTGTGTGTGTGTGTGTGTGTGTGTGTGTGTGTGTGTGTGTGTGTGTGTGTGTGTGTTCAGTGTTATTTAATATGCTTTATTTTTACTCTTTTTTAACTAATATATAAGTTAAATCTTAGGTCACTATTTACGAACAAATAATATATGGTTCGCAAGCCGTCGACACCAAGCAATAACAACTTTAAAGTGTTACGCCTCCTGGTGAGTGTATCAGTGCACTATGTAATATAACATCATATAGCTCATATCACACACTAGTCAATTTGTATACAACTTTGCCATAAAAAAGTATTAAATAGTAAGAAAATAAATGGTTAATAATGTTTTTACTTTATGATATTACGTGTTTGTGAAATGCTGTTCAGAATACACCTGTAGAGTAATAGTTCACTTTACTTGTTATTGTTTTCCCACCTGTAATTTAGGATCTGGATGTCAAGCGATTAATAGCTGGTATTCCTGGGTGATGGTTAGGTTAGGTTAGGTTAGTTTAGGACAGTAGTCAACACCGGGTCCATACACCTTATTAACTCAGGGCCTGGTTGGGTTATGTTAGGTTAGGTTAGGTCAGTCGTCATCACCGGGTCATATACCTCACTAACTCAGGGCCTGGTTAGGATTGGGTTATGTTAGGTTAGGTTAGGTCAGTCGTCATCACCGGGTCATACACCTCACTAACTCAGGGCCTGGTTAGGTTAGGTTAAGTTAGGTCAGGTCAGTCGTCAACACCGGGTCATACACCTCACTAACTCAGGGCTGGTTAGGTTAGGTTAGGTTAGGTCAGTCGTCAACACCGGGTCATACACCTCACTAACTCAGGGCCTGGTTAGGTTAGGTTAGGTTAGGTCAGGTCAGTCGTCAACACCGGGTCATACACCTCACTAACTCAGGGCCTGGTTGTTGTGTTGGTGGTGGCAGCTTCTACACCTTAGCCAATATCCCACATCAGAGGCTTCAGTCCTGACCATCCCCCAGCACTGGACACAACCATTATTGTTATTAATTACGGTTATAATGATCGCTGCTGCAGAATTGCTACACATAAGGGCCACACAATCGAATATATCTGATCTTACGAGTGACAATCATTACTGCTCTGGTAACTGGGCCGCGGTGGGGAGATGCGAATGTTTTACTTTGTGTACATGAGGGCAACGAAAATGTTTTATAAATATTACAAAATTGAATCCATTACATTGTTTTGATGAAGAATATGGAAGATTTTAATATGAACTAAACTGTTGACACTAAATAATATAAGTCAGAGGAGGTTAATGTTTTATATCAATAATTTACTGAAATTCTCTGTCAGAAGTTTGAGGTTTTTTACAACTACAGTAAGTCAAATCCATCACATATTTGTTCATATGCCTTCAGTCACACGGTACATAGGGCTACTGAATTGTCCCAATATTCTGTTCAGGTATAAATAAGATGTATTACTCAAAAAAAGAAATGTGAAATAATGAGAAGCTTTCATATTGTGTTTTAATTTAACTTACACGCATTCTCACTCTTTTTTACTAGAGCAAAAATAATCCCTGTAGCCAAAGCCTCAGTGGTCACTTCCATATCATTGCAGTCTCTGTCGTTGAGTTTCACGGTAAACACAACTTACAACGTTCTCATATTTCCAGATGGAAAAATTCACCTCACGAACTGTGGAGGGTTCTGGGCAGGCAGTGAACCGTGGTGATGTTTGAGACAGTAACATATGTCAGCCGCCTCTCTTACTTACAGTGTGTGCTGTTATAGCTTATTTGGACTCGGCTGCAACACTTGTTAACTTGGAGAAATTTCACAATAAAACAATTCGGTCACATGAAGATTAACCCCTTAACTAATATCACCTTTAGATTAATGACGCTTACCTAACTTAATAACCTAACCTAACCTCACCTAACTATCATTAGAGTGTTTAATCACCAGGTGAAATAAGCTAGGGTGGGTAATCTTCACGTGATCCAACAATATTTATTACTGTTCACTTATTAAGAAAATGTGTTGAAGTAAAAATAGAAATATAGCAGTTTTTCCCGTGTGTGTTTTAACTCTCCTCTTTCCATCGTAATTGGCTCAACGCACAAGCATAATAATTGGCTATTTTTGACATTCACCAATTATCCTTTTTCCTCTTGATGGCTTTATGTAACATATTTTTAGAAGCATCGGTATTTAAAACTTACATATGTGTGCCACTATCCATGCAAGGACACACGACACCACACACGACACACACACACACACACGACACACACACACGACACACACACACACACACACACACACACACACACACACACACACACACACGACACACACACACACACACACAACACACACACACACACACACACACACACACACACACAGCACACACACACACACACACACACACACACACACACACACACACACACACACGCCAGCACACACACACACACACACACACACACACACACACACAGCCAACACACGTCAGCACACACACACACACGACCACACGACCCAACACACACACACACACACACACACACACACAACACACACACACACACAACACACACACACACACACACACACACACACACACACTCTCAACTGTCTAGATATCTTTATAAAAGTAGAACACTATAATAAATTGGAATGCAATACAGAATAATCTAATATAATTTATTTTGCAGTATTTTTCTTTTATGTTTCGTCTTTCTCATTACATGAATAGCGAGAGGTTTGGGGAGGGGGGGTAGGGGATTTAGGTGGGTTGTGTAGGGGAGGGATAGTGGGGAGGAGTTAAGGGGTCAGATACTCCGCTTCATTGGACTAGAAATTTCGTAACTCGATTTTGGTTAATAAGTGTATATCAGGCCCTTGTGTATATGTTCCTATTGTGTATATCGAGACCCTGTGTGTATATCGAGGCCCTGTGTGTGTATATCGAAGACCCTGTTGTATATCGAGACCCTGTGTGTATATCGAGACCACTGTATTATATCAGACCCTGTGTGTATATCGAGACCTAATGTATATCGGAACCCTGTGTGTATATCGAGACCCTGTGTGTATATCGAGGCCCTGTGTGTACATCGAGGCCCTGTGTATATATCGAGGCCCTGTGTGTATATCGAGGCTCTGTGTGTATATCGAGGCCCTGTGTGTATATCGAGGCCCTCCCACACTTTTCCTCTAACTCAATAAATTCAGATTTTTTTTTACTTTTTGATTATTTCCATGATGTTAGGGACACCTGGCTCTATATATTGTTAACTAATTCTGAAATATACAAACTTTGGATTTCTTATTAAGGGAAGCTTTTGTGTTAGTTGCTTTGTTAGAGGGAAAAAAAGTTGTTCTTCAGGGTAAAAGCTTTAATAATTGGAGCTCAAATATGATATTGTTTATTATGTG